TTTACGAATAATTACTGATAGTCTCGTATACTACTCACACCAAAACTAATTACTACAACATTTAGTAACAAGGCCACTTTCATAGACATGCAAAAGTCTTGCTAGGCACTTTCGCCATTGAAAACGAGCACTACCGGCAATTGGACGGATGGCCCAATTTGCTGGAGTCCATCTGCATCAGTCCTTTGCCACCCCACGCGTAAATGTGACAATAGCCTGACAACAGAGATGAACGAAGGAATTGTCTAAAGACCTCATGAAGTAGGTCTGTGAGTCTAAAGACCCTTTGCCAAGGGGGCTGTGGATTATTCGAAGATAGCCGTTTAAAGTAGACAATGTCTCTATTCTACTTCGTTTAGAAGCAAACGGTTTTAAAGGCTATTAGTAAGTTGTGAATAAGAATTTAGTAATTTGTGATATTACTTTCTATTCCCATACACACACATACACACACACACATATATATATATATATATATATATAAGATAAACCTAGTTTCTCTTTGTATAAATGAGATCAAAATGGCCTCCATAAGCCTCACCCGGTGAGCATAACAATAATCGGAGAGTTCTGCTCGAAGATCATCCTCCAAAAGTCCCCAATAGTGTGCTCCATGGGCCCTTGGGCGGCAATATGCGGCCAGAGCGCGATAGAACAAGGTATGGTGATGGATTCGCATGAAGGGCTGCTCTGCAGCTCAGATATGTAGCTGGCATTAATGTAGCCCTATCCAAGAGAGAGCCAACAAAATAAGGTAATGGTAAAGCAGGAGTCCAGTTGGCCGGTTGATGCCATTGAAGACGAGAGCCCGAGCAGATGGATAGATGAGCCATCGAGGAGAATTGAGGAGAATAATAGAAAAATGGGAAAAATAAAACGAAAAGTGTCATGATATCGAAATATTCGCATGAATATAGTGAACATGATATTCTCAGATAGCCAGTTCAGTTGCAAATGAGCCGTTGGGTTCTAGCAAGCAGAGGAACAGCGAGTCTATCTATTTCGTTTATATGAAAATTCGGATGGAGGGGATGAACAGGGACCCAAAGAAAGACTGCCGTTGGACGCAGTTCTGATTGAGTGTATAAAGCCTTGGCGCACCATCTTTCAACCTGATTGATTTGGACTGAAGTATCGTCTTTTCTGCTCTGGTTGGCATCAGCAAAGCGGGAAATTATGCGTTAACAAACTTGACAGACCATTATCGGGACAGTTTGAGAAGATTGTTAAACGATGACTTCTTACGATGAAATATCAGCACTAATCCATCATGTGGGAGGATAGTAGACAATTTCCAAAGATTCTAGGGCCATCCTGCTTCAGGTTTCGGTGAAGTGAAGTTTGCGTGTAAAATGAAAGATCCAAATAAACGAAACTATAGTGGGATTTCATCGTGGGAATCCGGCTTGAATCGTTTTTGTCTGTAGGCACAAAAATGTGAAGTATACATATACAAAAAAAGAGTCTCCCATTTCTCGATACAAAAAAGATGGTTTGCAGTTCTCATCCTACCGGTTTATATGATTAGCCGGCTATCCAGTCTGAAAGCAAGTCCATTAAAAGACAAACAGCAAGACAGACAAACATGACAAATCGCGTCATAGGCAACTAGCCTGACATTAGTAAAACTGATTGGAAAAAATAAAAAAATACTCCCAAAAATCAGGGCTTGTTCCGTCCCTTCCTGTCAACTCCCAAGTTTCCAAAACATGTCTACATACCATCCTCTAGGCTCTCCTGCTACTTTCATGAGACTAGTCTTATCCCATCAAGACAGACACATCTGCCTCTCCATTTCATACTATCTAATCCCACGTCTTCGTCATCTTTTGGGCCTGTAATAAAGTCTAACCTCCCATTTGAGATGACTGTCATTAGGCATGCCGAGACATGGTACTTCGCGGAAAGTAGGCATCGCAGGATGTACAGAGTGCGACAAAGAAATAAAAAATCTCATTGGCTTACAACAATCGACTCCTCTTAGTCCCGATGTCTCACCTGCGTGATTCGCTCTCGATCCGACTCCCTGTTATCCTTCTGCAGTAGGAAGGTTCTTGAGTTCTTTGCATCGGTCGAGTCGAGGCTGGCACATGAGCCTGAGTCGGAAGCTTTAATTCGCTGCGAAAAGGGCACGCCAAGCACAACACGCGAGTGGTCGTCTGCCAGGAGTAGAAGAGGACGCACAAGGCAGCGTTGAATCGACGCGTAAAGCGAGCACAATAGACAATATCATGAGCAAGTTATTAAATGAAGAACTAAGCCAGAGGCACAAGTACAGGCAGGCCATGAATGGTACGAGTGATACGTCCCGTGAAAAATTCACACTATTCAAAGCGATTATAAAATATAAATACCATCGAAAGAGGTTAGTAAAAGTTTTAAAATAGCACAATATTTTCTTTCTTTCTTAATGTAATATAAAAGTTGAGGATAATCAAAAAATATTAAAAAATAAAGAAGTGGTTTGACCTCGCTTTTGCAACTTGGTCGTGTTGTCAGGGTGACCTGATTGGATGCAACTTGTCCTCTACTCTGGTAATTATGGTAATTCCCAGCGTTGGGCTGTGGACTTCATACACTCCCAGATACATCTCACTGGCATTATAGTCAGCATCTCCAGTGAGTCTTGCCATTCTCTTCATAAAAAATGTCGATTAAGATGCTGTCTGGGAATGTACCAAGTACACGGTTTGAAGTTAGGAATTATCATAACTACTAGGGCACAGTGCTTTGGACAAGGAGAGTTCAATTAGAGATCCATGGCACCACGGCTAAGTTGTGGAAACATGGAAAAGTGACTGCGACCAAAATAGAGGCCATACCATCTTGGTCTTCGTATCTACTATGAAAAGCAATAGGTTATTTATAAGCAAAGAGATGCATTACAGAAAGCAATCACCAGGGCAAAAGTTATTCTTAAATGTGCAATAAAGATATCGTGTTTGCTAGTAAAAATATTTATTTTACATTTTCACACGAATCTAACATTATAATAACCCCACAATAATAGTTGTATATCTAGAAATGGCTTTCAAATCACATTAAGTTGATGCCGCTTTACCTTTTTCCAGTATTTCATCTGCCTGTTTTAAAATATTCCGCACGGTTGATTTGCGCATTATAACATCGCTGCTAATTTAGGAATTGCTGTCGCAACATTTATGTCCATTTGTCACATCAAATTTTTGTTCTGATCTAATAACGACTCGCTTCTGTTTTCCACCTCCAGCATTCCCTTCAAAATTCTTCTTCTTGGCCATAGTTGCTAAAGTGATGCTATACAGTTGTTAATACACTTTACTGTACATATGAAAGTGGATGGCGTGACAAGCATCAACACGCGAATAAAGGGCTTCGCTACTCTAAAATCTTGAGGACTACTGACTGAACTTTGGCTCGTATTACATGTGGCCTGGTGTCAAATTATAACTTGAACTAAATCGAATTTCGTACCTAAACTCCTGGATTTCAAAAAAACACCTAAATGACTCGTTTTGCCGGAAAAGAGAACTCATTAATTAAGATAATTTAAAGGTTTTTGGAGTCTTATGGAGAAAAGAAGCATAAGGTAAGCCAACTAATAGACAAAGTAAATAGATCCTGAATAAGAGATTCAGTCACTCTAGGTCGACTAGGCTGGCGAAGAAAAGTCTGTGATTGCATCAATTCAACACGCCAGAGCTAGAAATTACCACGACTACTCCGACCGAGAAGACAGGACTGTGCAGATTCCATAAGATCCTCCTTTCACTCCGATTAAGTTGCGAAAATAAGGCCATATCAATTGAATACACCTAAAGGAAAGTCCATTTTGATACCAATATTTATAAGTGGGATAAAGAGGAAATTTGTCATAATCCTTAAACACAAAGATCGGGCAGATGTAATTCAATGGAATCGTAAGGTCTACTGATATGATTGGGAGAAAATTCAACTATATAACTTTAAAGATATGAATAAAAACTAAGTTTTAAAGAAGCCCTTTTGATGTATTGTGACATGACCATCCATTTCGAAGGAAAAGTTGGTTGTAAGGATTTCGTGATGTGGTCTAACTGGAAACCAAAAGAAGATTGCCGAGCAGTGAAGACTGCTCTGTTGTACTAAGAAATCTTCAGCTCACCGTCCTACGACCCCGATCAACCTGTGCGGAGCTTTCGTCTATACCGCCGTGTAAGAATCTGTACCTTACGATATAGAGCAAAAATAGACTAAACCAAGAGAAAAGGTTTAGTCTCTTTATGTAATATATTTTTTGTGTTGGTTCTTGGTCTTCATATCTATGAGTAAGTATATTTTTGCTATATGTACTACCGCATGGAGTATTGCTCTGATGATGTCTGTCACGGCGGTACAGACGAAAGCTCAGCATAGGTTCATCGGAAGAGCAGGACGGCGAGCCAAGGAATTGATACTGGCCTACCTTTCATTTCGTTTGAGAAGGCGGGTCGAAGGGATTAGTAGATTGGCCCCACCGGATACCGCAGAAGGATTGCCTTGTATTTTTTCTGTTGAATTGTGCGAAGAAGACATCGGCTCACCGTCCTACCACCCCGATGATTCCGTGCTGAGCTTTCGTCCATCCTGTGACTGATATCGGCAGAGCCAGAAGCCAGTATTCACGAAAAATCACCAAAAAACACTAAACCGAGAAAGGTGGCCAGCTGAGATCCTCACTTTGCGATCTGAATGAGGCATTCAATGATTAGGTTGGTTGACTTATGCTTATCCTACATGCATGTAAGTGGGTCGAAATGGTGCAGACAGGGGAGCGGATTTGGTCACCATTTTTGTCTGTAAAAATAAACTAGAGTACGAGTGTATGGATGACTTCCTTAATTTAATGATAAGGCGACTAAATTCACTATGGAGTTACAAAAAACCGTAAGTACCCTTTTTAGATGTCCTAGTAAGTAAAGAAGGGAGCAAACTGGGTAGAGGTGTATATAGGAAACCCACAAATGCTGATTTCCTTCTTAATTTCCCCTTGAATCATACTGATGGTGTTAAGGTAGGCGTAATAAAATCAATGATAAAAAGGAGTTTACGCCTGGTAAACGTAAATCATCAAGGACAAGAGTTAGAAAAGTTTAGAAAAATCTTAGTTGAAAACGATTATCCTGTAGAATTAATTGTTAATAATTTCAAAATATTGAGAAATATGTAATTAGACAACTCTTCTGCCAATTCCCTAATGCTACCATCCTGCAAGCTTTCAAGAAAGATAGGCGAATAATTAAGGAAATGGAGTGCCAAGAGAATATATAAAGAGACAATAATGCTTTCCTCGATCATGTCGTCTTTTATAGAATCTTCCGACGCCCTCTGCAGATCAGGTTGTTATGAGGTTTTGTGCTCATGTGGTAGGGTTTATGTGGGGGAGACTTGTCGAACCATACTTAAGAGGCTATCAAAACACAGAACCGCCTGCAGAGGCTTATGGATTCAGAAATCGAAAGTGGCTGAACATCTGGTCGCTACAGGACACCAAATAGAGTGGTCGAAATCCCAACGTTTTGCCGTAAATGAGGACTTCACAGCTAAACGGAAGATCAGGGAGTCGATTGAAATTAAGAAAAGAAAGAACATCCTGAATAAGAGGAACGAATGTAGGAAACTAAGTAGGAACTATTTTTGTATGATAAATATAATTAGAGAAAGAGAGAGAAGGAAATGGAACAGGAAGAGCCGCTGAGCATGAGGATAAGACTGGACAAAGCTGGAGCTTGTTTTTGAACCTAAAATCGTCAACCAACTTGGGGTTGTTGCATACACACGCAAACACGCATCCACGAAATTGTAACAAGAGCCAGGACTTATGGATCATATGCTAGTTTATTTACATAGGCAAAATGGTGACAACATTCACACTCTTTCTGGCATCACTTTGATCGGCTTACATGCGTGTAGGACAAGCACAAAACAGCCAACCAAATTATGGAATGCCTCTTTAAGAAGTAAGTGGGATCTCATTTAGCCACCTTTCTCAGTTTAGTGTTTTTTGGTGATTTTTCGTGAATTTTGCTTTCTGGATCTGACGATGTCAGTCACAGGAAGGACGAAAGCTCAGCACGGAGTCATCGGATCCGTAAGACGGTGTGCCGAGGTTTTCTTCGCACAATTCAACAAACAAAAGTCCAAGGAAACCCTTCTGCGATGTCCGGTGAGGTCAATCTACGAGTCTTTTCGACGCGCCTTCTCAAACGAAATGAAAGGTACGTAGGTATCAATCTATTCATGGATTCTTCTAAACC